GAGCCCACATGTTACCCCAGGAATACCAATGGGATGTCCTACAGGATGGAAATCTGAGTCCACATACAACAAAGGGGTCTGATCTTGCAGTGACTTGCAGGATTTGGGCCTACAACAGTGATTCTCGCCTGGGGTTGAGGCACCCTTGGGGGTGCCTTGAGATACTTTCAAGGGTGCTGTGGGGCTGCTACAAAATATTAGCACTGTTAGGTGGTCAAACATGATTCACAAGCTAAAGCCAGAGATTTCAAATAGGGATCCATAGTGTCAAAGATATTTAGACTTGCCACGGTTTTTCAGAGTTCTTTATAACAAAAGAATGGCTTTATTGTTTTTCTGTAGTCAAGACGTGAGTGAAAACTAGAACTGGTATTTTCTGAAGGGTGAGCCAGTGAGGGGTGGTCTGAATCAAAATAGGGGTGCCTTGAGTCTACAAAAGCTGGGAACCACTAGCTTACGAACACCAAACTACTGTGCAAAATAAAAACTTCTCATGTGCCTCATTGTCAGTGTATTGCCTTGCTCATGGGCAGACCCAGGGTTTTGAAAAGTGGGGTGCAGAATCTGGGGCACATCATTGCATATATGACACATGACACATTTTTTCTGCAGTTCAAGAGAAATTAGATGCTTCACTAATCTGCTAGGGGGGTAGTGCTATATTCTTCAGTTTAAGATCAGAGCAAAAACAAGTATAACTAGGGGAATGTGCACTAATTTGCTAGGTTATGTATAAAGTTTAAAAGACACCTGGTACATGAGGCAAATGGTCAAAACAAAACAAAAAACTAGGCAAAAAACAAAAACGCAACAAACTAGGCAAATAGTCAAAAAGAGACGGTGTCCTGACTCCTGTCGTTAAATATACATCACGTCTTCAGCTCCACAAAACAGAATTGAGCCTTCTTGAGTGTTTTGACAGTGCCTCTAATACTTCGGTGTCAGTCATTTCTGTACCTGAGTTAATATTACCAAACCTGAGATACAGTTTTTAGCTAGAGCTAAAAACAGCCTGCAGGGCTGTGATAAAAGTATGGGGCTGTGCAACAGGAGGGAGACATTACCAACAGTGGCTAAGAGGCAGCACAACTACTGGAGGAAAAACTAGTTTGAATAGTGGAACCTCAAGGGTTTTAAAAAGGAGAGAGGAGTCTTAACACCTGTGGAGTGGGGAGTTTAGGAGGAATGAGGGAGATGACAACAAGCCACAAAGCCAATGGCTCCCTCAGTGCTGCCTGAGTAGAAATACTGCTGCCCCTGCCAGGCAGGTGGCTTTCAAGTGAGGGTGAAGCAGGAATCCAAGGGAGCAACTGCACCACTGTGGCCAGATTGGTGTGAACTGTGGGGAGTTTTACCTTTCTCTGTTGTTGGGGGGGAGAATAGGGTGCAGCCCTCTACCTGGGACCTCTTGATATATTGCCATAATTTTATAGAAGCAGGACATTGCCTGCCATGGTTCCCCCGCTTTACCTGCTTTACCTGTGGCAGGTTAGGGTGTTAGGTCTGTGCTGAGTCAGGATTGAGGGGAGACTTAGTAGAGTTTAGATTATGGATGTATGGGATGGTTTGGATAGGGGTGATCCTGCCTCAGGCAGGGATGGGGGTGGTTGGACTAGATCGGGGTTTCTCAGGCTGTGGGTCGTGACCCAAAAGTGAGTTGTAAGAATATATGAAAGGGTCACAGACAAACTTTTAAAATGGTTTTTCCTTTAAAGGACAAAAATGTGGGAAACCATGGCTTTTTCCTTGCAGGTTGGCAGAGTTCCAGCTTGCAAGGAGCTGCTTGGGCCCTCCCCCCCACTCCATACTCTGGGGGGCTGGGGCCTGGGGGTGGGGTGCAGTGGGTTGGGAGTGAAGGGCACTGGGACTGCCCATTGATGTTTACAAATGGGTCCTGGTACAAGAAAGGTTGGGAACCACCCAACTAGATGACCTTTGGAGACCCCTTCCATCCCTACTTCTGTATGACACTGCACCCCCTCCATCTGAAAAGGATGAGCAGGCATCTTCTGAAGGGCACCTTGTGTCTAGCAAGGGGCACTCTGAAGCTAACTGGGGCTCCTTCAATCTCTAAAACCTGAGCCGTGCTAGCCTTGCGTTGCCCTGGGTTAGCCACAGGGCTTCAGAACCTGACCGAGGTTGGGGCTAGGTCCTGGGCTGCAAGTACTCCCACTGCTAGCCCCAAGCACCTGGTATGTGTGTGGGAAGGCTCTCCCTGCTCCTGGCTCTCTTCAACTCAGCAAGCTGGTGAGGCTCCCAACAGCTTGGAGCTGGGCAGGTTTGACAGGTCTTAAATATGAAATTATCATATTGGATGCTCAAAATTATTGCATTTGCTGAAAAACTATTGAACACTGAAAAACTATGCAAATAAGTATGCAAATAAATCTTCTTTACTTTATATCATTCGCTAGAAGTCACCAGTAAGTGTGTGAACTGGGTCATCAAAGTAGAAGCATTTCTTTATTTGAGGCAAGCAATCATAGAAAAGTGCTGATAACAAACCCAAAAGTTAGTTAAGATTTCCTGAGAGTGACTTGGGTTTTGCGTATGCTGCATCCATTAGCTGAACTAACTGCCTCTAAAGTTATATGGGGTATAGGCTTTAGCCACGTTGGTCTAAGGTTCTTTGTGTAAATCTTTTATTAGACCAACTAAAATAGTTGGAAAAATGGCAAGCTGTTGGGTACAGGCCTGATGAAGGGTGTTTGTACCCAAAAGCTTGCAAAGAAGAATTTTTCCAAGTATTTTAGGTAGCCAAGTTTAGTTGGGTAAATCTGATATCTTTTATTATTGGTCTAATAAGATGTATTGGATTTACCCTTGTCTGCCTATGTCCTTAGACCAGCAGTTCCCAATCTGTGGTATGAGTACCACCAGTGGCATGCAGACAACCTGTCAGTGGTACACGTTAACAGATTTATTATAATTACTTTATATGACAAAGGTTTGCTGGTGGTACTTAAGGTTGAACTGAAAAATTTGCTGGTGGTACTTAAGGCTGTATCATTATAAATTGGTGGTGTGCAATCTGTCAGAATTTGGGAACTGCTGCCTTAGACCAACATGTCTACAACCTATATGCCCCTCCAACTATTTGAGTTGGTCTAATGAAAGATATCAAAAGTTCTTGTACAGTTGGCAGACAAGGGTCTTTGGGTAAATCTGATATCTTTTATTATTGGTCTAATAAAAGATATTACATTTACCCTTGTCCGCCTATGTCCTTAGACCAACATGGCTACAACCTATATACCCCTCCAACTATTTGAGTTAGTCTAATAAAAGATATCAAAAGTTATTGTACATTTGGCAGACAAGGGTCTTTGGGTAAATCTGATATCTTTTATTGTTGGTTTAATAAAAGATATTGGATTTACCCTTATTGGTCTAATAAAAGATATCAGATTTACCCTTGTCTGCTTATGTCCTTAGACCAGGGGTAGGCATTAGGCAACCAACCCCCGGCATGGGTGCCAGAGTGTGGCACTCGAAGGCATTTTGCTTGGCACACATGGCAGGGAAGGGGCTACATGGCAACAGCAAGGATTGGGCCCCTCGTGGCTCCCTTGTCATCATCCTGGCACACCAACATCTTACAAGTTGAAGTTGTGGGTGTTTTCGGCACTCTGGCCAAAAATGTTGCTGACCCCTGCTTTGGACCAATACGGCTACAAGTTATATACCCCTCCAATCATTTGAGTTGGTCTAATAAAAGCTATCAAAAGTTCTCGTACAGTTGACAGACAAGGGTCTTTGGGTAAATCTGATATCTTTTATTGTTGTTCTAAAAGAAGATATCAGATTTACCCTTGTCTGCCTATGCCCTTAGACCAACACGGCTACAACCTATATACCCCTCCAACTATCTGAGTTGGCCTAATAAAAGCGATCAAAAACTCTCGTACAGTTGGCAGACAAGGGTCTTTGGGTAAATCCAGTATCATTTATCAGACCAATAATAAAAGAGCTTGGGTTTACCCAAAGACCCTTGTCTGCCTAAAATCCTTGGAGGGTGTACTTGGTAGCTGCGTTGGCCGGAGACAAGAAGACATAAAAAAACCCCCTAGAACTCTTGGTTCCAGAATGATACCTTTTATTAGATGGAGAAAAATCTTGCGATTTCCCAGTCGGTCTAATAAAAGGTATCATTTTGGAACCAAGAGTTCTAGTTTTTTGTGTATAAAATCCTTGGGAAAATTCCTCCCTGCCAGCTTTCGGGCACAAACACCCTTGGTCAGGCTGGGGCAGCATCTGCAAGCTGGTCTGCGCTCTTCCTGGAGGGAGTCCTAAAAGAAGCCTGGGCCGGTAGGCATGTAAGAGAGCCGCTCAGGGGCGATGTAAATGGATAGCAGTCAGTGTTGAGACTGAGGTGGTCACCGGGTGAGAGACAGGTGGGTGGGGAGAGGGGAATGACTGCGGCTAGTAAAATGTGGAACGGTTTTTGAGTAGCCACTCTTGAGGATACATTTGTATACATACAACCCTTTTGAGTATCCAGTACTGAGTACAGCATGCATCGTGCCAGGGTTGAAACACTTCTCCTGGAGACAGGCTCACGCTTGGGCCGGGCCGCAGAGGGCGCTGGCGGGGCCGGGGCCGGGG